GGTACGTGACAATTCGGGACTCAAACACCATCCCACTCCGTGCTGGGGTGACGAAGGGCTGGCCAGGCTGTGGGGAGCAGGATTGAGCATGAATCGACTCTGCCCTCTAGTGCAACGCTGCCAGCTCACATCCCCACCAGCTCCTGAACCTGCTGGTCTCTTCCCCGCAGGCCTCCAGCACCTTGATCTGAAGCCTAGCCTTGACCCACCCAGCTCTGCTGCCCTGGTGGCTTCACAGCGCTCCATCACAGCCCCTCTCTTGTGGCCTCATGTCTGATGGGCCTCCCAGTGCCGTTTGCTGCCATGCAAGGCCATGCTGGAGGGCATTAGCGTCTCCGAGCTTCTGGGGAGCCAGGGCCAATAGAGGACCTTGCAAATCTCAAAGAGCACCTTGGAAAAACTTTTAGGATCAGACCAGGGGAGCAAGCTCCCCATTGCAGCCCCAGTGGGGCCTGAGGGCCAGCTTGTAGGAGCAGGATGGGTGTTCCCAGTGCTCCCAGCACAATTTCACCCCTTCCTTTACAGGATGGATGGAGCTTGCTGTGAGCTCAAGGTGCTCTATCCCAGAGGATGCTGCGACGCAATGCTTGACTTTATTTCTTGCACACTTCCCCCATAAGAACCTCGCAGGATAGATGGTTTAAAACAGCTTTTTACGCCATGCTTTTGCAATGCACTGGTCTCCAAAGCACCCCAGGGACACCTCTACTCATCCTTGGGTGGCAGCATGAATTGAGGGGTGCCAGCCTCGCTGGGCAGACGCGGGGTGCAGGTGCTGCAAGCAGCGGGTGCATGGGACAGGGTGCTGCTGCCCTCCAGTGGGCTCAGGCTAGAAAGGAGGATGGCTGTGGGCACCCCGCTCCGCACCGAGCACATGGGTGCTGGGGAAGGGCAAGGTGGGACGTGGGGCTGAGGATGACACCTTCCATGGGATGGGGTGAGCACTGGACAAGGGACCAAGTGGGCACAGCATCGCTCCCCTTCCTGGGAGCAGGAGAAAGCCTGCTCTGCCCCATCCTTCTCCAGAGATGACCCCACTGATCTGCTCCTGGCCCAGGACTCTTTGAAAGCAGCACTAGGTGCTGCTGAAGGGCCTGATCCCACTAACGAATTGCAAATTCAGTGTAGCAAGCAGCGAGAGCACCTTGCACGGCCGCCATGGCCCAGCACCAAACCACGTTAGGGCTGGGGGCCACCAGCCCGGTAGCTGCTTTCCCTCTGTTGTCCCCAGGGACAGGCAGGAGCATTAATTTGTAGTCAGCGACAGCTCCAGAGGAGCCATTATGGGTTACGGTACCAACGAGCCGTGAAGCGAGGCGGCAGGCGCGCGACCGCAGCTCCCAACACCGCAGGTACCTTCTCCTCTTCTATTAAGAGAGCCGTTGTGTACTTAATGGAGGGGAAAATCAAAACATCTTCCCACCACACTGGAAGGGCTGATATATGGGCTGGGAGATTTTTTTTTTAATCGAGCGTGAAGCTCTGAGAAGAGGAAAATTCAACCTCAGAGGCAGGAAACTGGGCTGAACCCCTGTGGGTTTGCTGGGTTTTCCCTGATGGGGTTTTCCAGGATGGTGGGCACCACTGTTTTCTGTCTCAAGGGCCCTAGAAATCAACAAGGGATAAAAATAAATCCTCTTTGCACCTCCTCTCTGGTCATAAGATGCCCTTAAGAGCTGCATTAACTGGTCCCAGCCCAGAATGCCCAGACTGAGGAGCATTGCACATGGCCTCAGCTCCTGAGCCCACCTGGAGCTCCTCTCCACAGGGACAGAGGTTGGAGAGAGATCTCAAGTTCTTAGTCACTGTAAAGCTATTTTTGCAATGGTTCTTGTGCTTTCTACCCATGTTGTCCCCCACCACCGGGATCCTACAGGATCCCTTCACCTCCTGGTCCAGATGCAGAAGACAAGCATGGAGAGATCCAGCGAGGAGGCAGGGAGCACCAGGCTCTTGCTGATGGAACACACATCTCATCTGAAAATATGTTATCAGAGGGGGAGGCGATCCTGGCTATGGAGTCACGAGTTTCCCACATCCACTGAACGTAGGTGGGAAAAGGATCTTCTGCAGCAGAACAACTTACTGTGGGTGGCTTAAAAAACTTGGTACAGCTTTGAGGTTGGTGCTGGGTACAGGAGGTCTGATGAAAGGGGAAACACCTTAAATTACAAAAATATGTCAAAAAAAACAAGTCAGATGCTGTTTTAACCCTCAGTAGACAGGAGAAAGAGAGGCTCCCCACCACCCTTTTATATATTAACCCGATGTTGAAGGCACTGACCCCGGTTCATTCCCATCTAAGAGGGTTTAAACCCACCTCTGTGTCTCTGAGGAGGAGTTCCTCTGTCCTTTCACCTCCTGTGGGGTGCACTGGGGTGCACACTCCCTGAGTGAGGAACTCGTCTGGCTACCAGGAGCCATTGTCCAGCCCCACAGCCATGGGCTTGGTCATCCTCCCAGGATGGTGGGGAGGTGGGGTCCAGTGAAACACAGACCCCCAAGGGAAAACAGAAGGGGTGGTCCCATGGCTTTGCTGTTTACCAGCTACCATGAGCTCCTCCAGCGCGAGCGATACCTTCGTTCCCATTGATGTGCTCTTCCAAAACCAAGGGAAACTCTTGTTGGAAACCCCCTTGGAAAGCCTTTTTGGAAACCCAAAACCAGATCAAAACATGCTGTGTGAAGCAAAGATGATTTTCTTGAACAATTTCCTTTTTTATCCAGGAGAAAAGCCCCAACGGGATCCAGCCTGAGCCCTGCTCCTCACCTCCCGCGTTACTTCCATGAAATAACTCATGCAACAAAGCCACCAACTCCCATTACACCATGCTGGAGATGGAGATGATGGCTCACCAAGGGCTGTCAGGCTGATCTGGATGCTTAGGAGCTCAGTTTGCCTTGGATTAGGTTGTGCTAGAGCCAAATGATCTCTCCCAACCTCAACGGCTCCAGATTTATGTAAAAATGACCCCAAAACAACCCATTCACAAGCCCAACCTGGGGCTTTGTTCCCCTCGCACTTGGTGCACCCAGTCCACCTGCAATTTGCAACAGAGCAGAGATGCGAAGTGTTTTCGAATCAGTGCTTTTTAATCCATAAAAGGTGAGAGTCCATGTACAAATTAAAAAAAAAAACAAACCAAAACAAAACCACCAGTGTTAGGGAAAATTATCCCACTTGCACAAAACGCAACCCCTCCGCCAACGGAGGAGTTGGGTGGTGCGGGTGGAAACGCGATGCGCAGGCTCGCCGCTTGTGCGTGCTTCTTCTAAATAAATACTTCTCCAGCTAGTGTTAGGGAAATTATCCCACTCGCACAAAACGCAACCCCTCCGCCAGTGGAGGAGTTGGGTGGTGCAGGTGAAAACGCAATGCGCAGGCTCGCCGCTTGTGGGTGCTTCTTCTAAATAAATACTTCTCCAGCTCGGAGACATCCGTGTCGGCAACACATTTAGGATCGGGGGAAGATGCTGCCGGGATGCTTTAACGGCAAGGTGGCCTTTTCTGTGAACCTACCCCCTTCCTTACCGCTCCCGCGCCAAGCAGCTGGCAAGATTACGTAGAAAAGCTGACTGCACCAGATGGCCTCGTGGTGGCAGCCGGATCTGTAATCCGGTCTGATGATGTCTCAGTCTACAGAGAGGCCTCTCGGTCAATAACGCAGAGTTAGAAGCCCTCCTTTAGTTCTCCTTAAATAAAACTGGGGCTGAAAGCTTGGCACGTGGGCACTGAGCCACCTAGAAGAAGTCACGGTACAAGCCCGGGGAGATGCTCTCGCGACGATATCCTGCTGCCAGCGCACGTTCACTTCATTAAACTACTGCTACAAATTTGTCACGACTTAAAAAGTACAAAAATACAATTGCATCTCTGAAGGGTATTTTATACCTACCAAGATCATCCAAGCACTGAAGACCAGACAGCTCTTTAGCCTTCAGAAAAATAATGCACAAGGCAGAAATGGGATTGAGAAAATTTTGCCAATATATCTAAGCGAGTATTCGGAGTCTCCCAGCATTTCCAGTACAATTACCAAGATGTATGTATCCATCAGCCCAGCTCTGGTACGAATGCTGACAGCACAGTGTTAGGGTATTAGCAACGTGTGCAAGATCCAATACTAGCACAAATTTAGTAGTTTAATAATCTGGAGGAGCTATCTTCCTGGAATTTTAATCTCATACCAAGAAAAAAACAAGGCTCTTAGCTATTAATCTACTCACATATTTAGGGCAATCCACCTCTACTGATTAAAAAAGTGAGACAACAAATGCACGTTAAGTCTTTCCCTTTTCTTCCAAAGAAGCAGGCTGTGCAGCTGGGCTGTATTTGCTGGGCCAACCTAGGTGTCCATTAAAAAAAAAACAAAACCAAAAAGTACTAAAAAAATGGTCAAACCCATCCTAACTTCAACCCATTTCACTGGGACATCCCTAACTGGTACCGCGGCAGAGATGCACAGTCCAGTGCTGCCTGGGCAGGTCTGCGCCAGACCCCATGATGGGATCACCACGAGCCATCGATGCCCACACTATCCCCTCTCCCGAAAAAGGGGAGTTGAAGGTGACCTCCAGCTGGAGCTGCTGA